GGTCAATTTTTAAAATAAATATTGGTAAATATTAAGATTGCCTCTCAAGAGTTACATTTATATTGATCTAACAGGAAAGTACTGTTAACAGGTAATTTTGAAAAAAGAGATAAAATCATGACTCTTATTCATATGTAAAACAAAAACATATTAAAGATCTTACTTAACTCATTAATAACAGTGTGGGAGCCAAGCAGATGTTATAAGCAATTCAAAAGAAAATCTACAATCAAACAGATGCATTTCTAGGTCAGGACTAAAAATGAATGCATAAACAGAGGCAAAATTGCTTTTTCCATGGGCTGTAGGGTTGGTCCCACCATCAGGTAGAGTTTAGTTGCATGTCTATAAAAATAATTATTTATCAGTGTCACCAGCTTCACACAACTTAGAGAACTGGAAGAAATATCTAACATCAGAGTCAAATAAATGGAAGAATGTGCTGTAAACAATGGCGGTGTTCTTTTGTATCCTTTCTTCTTCAGGCTGATGTCTGATCCAAGCCACCCTAAAAATACCTGCTTGATTCTATTCCAGAAGCCTGGAAGAAAGCACTTTCTGATTGGTCCCAGATGCAGGGCTTGAAAACTGTGCTCTGAGCGTGTGTCCTGAATCTTTCTGATTGACAGGCTACACCTTCTTCTTCAGCCGTTTGCCATGCCCTAATTTCCTGCCTCAGCACTAGTTGTCTTTTGTGCCTGACTTACTTCACTTAACATCATCACTACTAGTTCTATCTGCAGTGTGTGTCACAAACAATAGGATTTCATTCAAAAAAAGAACAATTGAATAGTATTTCATAGAATATATGTGCCGCATTTTGTTTGTGCATTCATCAGTTGATGGACATTTAGGTTGTTTCCACCTCTTTATAGTGAATGATGCTGCAGTGAATGTAGGAGTGTAGATGTCTCTTCAACATTCTTTTTTTTTATTTTAAAGAGAAAAAAACAGTAACAAAATGACAACAACAAAGACAAAGACAGAACACACAAAAACAATAAAAAAGGTATAAGATTTCAAAACAAGATATAGGAATTAACAATGGTTGTTCTATATTATTATCTTTGACAAAGTTGCTCAGATCAGCAGACATAAGATACAATTTTCTTCAGATATGTATCCAGTTGTGGGATTGCTGGATCCTACAGTAGTTCTATCATCAGTTTTTCTGAGGAACCTCCCTACTGTTCTCCATAACAGCTGTCCTAATTGACATCCTCATCATCAGTGTACAAGGAGTCTTTCTCTCCAAATCCTTACCAGCGCTTGTTATCTTTGGCCTTTTTGGTAAGAGCTATTCATTCTGGTCTCTTTTTTCTTTTAAAATCAAATTTGGAAACCCAGGGCTCTTGTTTTCACATTATAGTGACTGGGTAGATCTTTGGCCTTGCATTTCCCTAAAGCTACAAGTTTTCTGTGGACCTCATTCACCCAACTTTGCTGAGTCATATGATGGGTGTGAGCTTGGTAGGCCTCTGAGCACACTTCCTCCTCGGTCTCTGAGTCCTTGGGGCACCTTCAGTCTGCTCTCTGAGAGTTTTGAGGCTCTGGATTATGGGGGTGGGATCTGAGTGCCACACTGGTACTCAGGCAGCATTGCAGGTGAACAATGAGGGCAACAGGAATTCCTGTAAGACAGTGTGTTCCCTCCAGGTCAGGCCCTGAAAGTAGGGCACAGGCGGCTCAATGAGAAATGAAGAGTCCACAAGGCCAAGTTTCCCTCAGGTGCTAGACAGCTTCATTTTAGTGAGACTGGCATAGTGTCAGCAGCCTTGCATCTGCCAGTGAGATGCCATTGCAAAGCAATTAAGAACACAGCCAGGGGTAAGGAAAACAAAAATAAATCCTGAAGTGTCTTACTAGGGTACACAAAACTGTGGCCTAAGCTTCCGGAAACATAGGAAAAAAATTCCTCTGTGTGCTAAGGAGCTCTTCAGACAGCTCAGAAACCTTATGCACAATAAGGGTCAAGAAAGCTTAAGAAGAGGAGAGACATCCCACAGTAATCTCATTTTATTTTAATTTCAAGGAAACTTTAGTGATGGGAGATCTAAGTGCTATATTTCCTGAGTTATTATCTTTGGTCTTCTGGCTTGTTCCAGTCATCACCCTTCCTTTGGTTACCCTGCGCTCTCTTGTACTGCCTACTTGACCTAACTCAATCTCTGCTCTATCTTAATCTTCTTATCTTTGAGGACAGAACACCTATAGGGCAGATGTCCCTCTTCAGATAGGCTACTTTACATAAGTTGGATCTTAGATGATTTCCAGAATAACCACCAGACAACCTCATTATATCCCCATCTGCATGCTAAATGACATTCCTGTTCGGTGCCCCTAATATAGGTGGTACAGTGGGGGCTGTGAGCCTACTCTCACCCACTTGAGTTTGGACAGCACCTTAGAACCACTACTTCTTCCCTTGTCTTGAGAGAGGTAGAAAATAAAATAATAAAGACTCAGAAAAATCTCTGGTGTTCTAGCTGAGAGCCTATGAACAAACAAGCACATTAGATCTCCTGGCCCAACCTCCAGTCACTTTTTCTCCACTTGAAACTTCTTAAAGCATCATAAATGTGTACTATATCACATACATGTAACTAAAATCAGAGTGAATTCTGGACAGGCATGAGAGCTGAAAGCCCCTGAGATGATTCAGTACTCTGTCAGTCTTACTCCAGAGATCCAATAAGAGGCAACTGGCGTGGGACGCATATCCTTTAAAACTCTGAAAACCTGATTTATTGTGTGCCGTGTGTTTTTTAATTTCCTGTCATCCCATACCACTTTTCTGTTCATGTCATAATTTCTGTCTGCACAGACTTGGCCTGAACACATCTCCCTCTGATTTTCAATAAATGTAGCTGCTTTTCCCTTGGCATTGGATGTGTGCTTGCAATTCCTGGCTCATCATACAGAAGAGCCTGAAATCTATCCTCTGGATCTACTCCATGTGGTAGCACCATGAAAGTTGATCATTGTCATAGCTATGACTGGAATGAACCATACAGGAAGGCAAAAGGGGGTGGGTCTAAAATTCCAGAACATCTCTGCTCATTCCCAGAAAAGACTGACTATTCCTTTCCATTAGCCTGTCACTCTCCCTCATTCCTCTTACCCTATATCTGTAATCAACCCAATCTCCAGTGGGTTGAGAAGCAGATTTGTGAGTTTAACTCTGCTTCTCTGGTACTGGGCCCAAAAATATAAGTTTCCTTTGCTGTTGAGTAGGTCCTGGGTATTGTTATCTGTTCTACAATTCAAAGAGGGAAAAAATATTCAATTTGGGATCACAAATCAGTAACATTTCTTTAGGGGTTTGAGTAGGGGATTCAGAGGTATCCTTACTCTTACCTCCTTGCCTTTCTCCCTCATTCTTCATAGGGCCGATCACTACTCAACCTATACTGAAGTTCTTCATTTCGTTCAGATCCTATGTTCATTCTGATATAGGAGGAATACAACTCCCAACCTGCCAGATGTCAGATGTGCAGAGTTCATGTCCTCTGAGATTGAAGAATGAATTGCAAAGGACAATGGAGGTAAATGGAAGCAAAAGTTTATTGAAAAATAGCTCCTGAGAGACAGGAGGGATCCTGAGTGAGTGACCACCGAGGCCCTTCATTGGGGTCATTTATACAGTGAAGTCACAATGTGGGTAAAATGTGGGTCAAGCTACCATCAGCCTACAAGATTACAAGTATACCCACTGAGCTAATATTGATCCAATAGGGAAGTAGGGCATGTAGCAAGATCATATATCTAGCATTATTAACCTGGACTTATCTATAACTCTTAAAACAATTTTGGAAAGGGATGGGTCCAGATATCCTGGCCACTCACCTGGGTGTCTGATGCACATCTGGATTTAATGGACTTGCTGGGACCAATTACAGTGTAATCTCAAGTTTCCAGTCATCCCTTAGGGAAGTATGTGTATCCATCCATTTTGATTTTATCTTGAGACCTTGCCTTTTTCAGCTGTGCCTTCAGCCAGTTTTGATGTGTTCTTATCTTTTGCACTGATTTCAAGGGCCTATCCCTGTCTGGCTACCTATTAGTTTCTACTTAACTTAGCTGCCTATAATACTTCCACTTGCTGAAGGGAAGACATTTCCTTCTTGTTCATGGAAAACACCCAGAAAACTACTTGAAAGGAGTTAACGCACAGGGCCAGATTGCATGGATGATGAGCAGTTTGTATCAAGTGTTACAGGTTCTTACCTCCCTCAAGGATTGTATAAGAAGTAGTGTGCAGGAATGACACATATCTCCCCCCACACACTTCTGGGAAGTGAACTGGGAGCCATCACACTGAACTATATCCACAATCACTTTTTATTCTGAGATAAGGTCTTACTAAGTTGTTAAGTTGCCAAGGCTAGGCTGGAAATTTTGATCCTCCTGCCTCAGCCTCCCAAGGTGCTGGAATTACAGGTGTGTGCCACCACCCTTGTCTTCATCTTTCATTACTTAAAACCTGAAAAAGTTATTAGGCAAAAGGTAGAAAGTTCAATACTTTTGGGACAAATGGTTTCTTTGTTATGGAGATAGACAAGTTAAGTTATGCAAATGTGAAGAAAAGACCACTTGAAATAGAGCAGCCAGTAAAAGGAGCTTAAATGGTTTGGGGAGGGAAAATGTGAAAAGGGTCCAAGATATTTTCTGCTTGAGGGAAAGTGAAGGAGGATGCCACTTTTTTATAAAAAGACAAAATGAAATTTTACAAAAACAAGTCCAAACACAGGGCTGGTTCGTTTTAACCTTGGTTGTTTTTTTTTTTGTTTTGTTTTTTGTCTTTCTTCCGGTACCTGGAATTGAACTCATGACCTTGCACTTGCCAGGCAGGTGCTTTGCCCCTGAGCTAAATTCCCAGATCCCTCATTTTAACCTTGGGAAGAGGCTCTTTATTTTTTAGTTACTCCACTGTCCTCTATAGTCTTAATGGACAGGAGAGCCAGTGAAGACATAGAAGATGCTTAGCTTTCCTTCTTACTGTCAGGGAACTGAGGGTTGAAGGGACCCAACTGGGAAGCTTAAAGGTTAAACTCTAACTTGTTCAGAAGTGTGTTCACCTTCAGTGACTTGACTTTTGGTATCAAGGCAAAGGATTGAAGCTGTCCTGGCCTCCAGGCAGGAGAAGTTGCTAGGCTGAAAAAGACTGCCTCTAATATACTCCCAAATCCTACTTGAAGAGAACTATGAACAGAATTATTTTACATTATAGTTCATTACTGTTTAGTGTCCAAATCTTTAGGAACCTTTTGGAGGGTTGAAATATACTCTTAAAAATGGTATGGTCATCTATTTTAATGCACTGTGCAGTGATCACCATAGAAAGTTAACAAGAAAAAAATCAAGCATGACTATAAAGAAAAATGGCTGCATTTGGGGCTCCAAATCTATGACATTTTTGAAAAGATGGCTCAGTGAAAGAGGAAACATCATAGCATCAGGTTATCCCTTATTTCCATATACAGGAAGAAAATAGCATCACCTAAAAAAGGAAAACAGTGGGAAATAACCACAGATTTTAATACCCCAAGGCTGGACAACAAGTATTGCAACATTAAGGGAAAAACAGAGTCAACAATCTCAAGGGGAAATGTCTCAGTTACTTTTTTCTCACTGCTGATACAAAATACCCAACGCCCAAAATTAAGGAAGGAAAGGTTTATTTAGTTCATAGTCTGTGGAGTTTTCGGTCCATACTCAGCTGGCTCCAAAGCACAGTGGCATATGGCAGAGGGCAACCATTCCTGGTGGCAGAAGACAACAAAAGCAACAACAGCAAAAAGGGAAGAAGGGCGGCAAGTAGCCTCTTTCCCTCTCTTATACTGTATGCAAACTTTCCGCCCTAGGGCAAGAGTAGCATTCACATCCATAATCCCAACAATGGACCATGAATCAATCATAAACTCTAGAAGCCTGCCCCATGACTGCATGAGGCTCTGAGGGGACATCCAGACACAAACCATAACATTCTGCCCCTGGCCCCCCCAAAGATCCATACACATGTCTTTACAGTTTGAGCATTGTTGAAAAGTTGCCAAAGTCCTAACAGTTTCGCATTGTTGAAAAGTCTAAATCCCAAGTCTCCTCTCAGAGGTGAGGCAAGCTGTTAGCTGTGAGCCCCTGTTCAAATGAAAAGTTAAACACTTTCAATAGCAGAAAATAAACATTACTATTCCAAAAGGTACAAACAGGGGGATATAGAGCACTGGGACCAAAGCAAGTCCAAAATCCAGCAGGGCTAACATTATGGCTGCAGTTCTAAATCCAGCATCTAAATCAACTTGTGGCACATTGTGAGCTCCAAAGGGCTTGTGTGACTCTACCCCTATGGCATCTCCAGTGCTTACAGCTCCCATGGCTTCTCTCTTGGGCCCATTTTGCTCCCTCCTTGCAGCTTTCCTTAGACAATCCACATTCCTGGTTTTTCCAAACTTGGAAGGTCTCCGATGAACCTCTGGCTTCTCCCTCACAGCTTCACACACTGCCCTCTCAGGGGCACACTGCCTGGCCTCCCAGGCCTTCTGAAATTGATGTGGAAGCCTTTTAAATCTCAGAACTCTTGCATTCTACATGTGCCTAAAGCCAGTGCTATAAGGATGAAGCCAAAGTCTGTCGCCACCTGGAGCAGTAGCCAAGCTTTCCTCTCTCTTGGCCGTAGGGGTCTAGTGCCTGGATTGCTGGACACTCTGAATCCAATTCTGAGGAGCACATTCTCTATGCCACTGCCATCATGGAACCTGGTGTGGCCACCACCGCCATTCTGGAACATGGTGCTCTGTGGCTTTCTTCTCAAAGCAAAATCTTTCATCTTTGCAGTTTTGAGGCTGCAAAGGGTAGAGACTTGCTGCTTCTTGTGATGCCCTCAGGCCATCTTTTCCATTCTCTTGTTTCTTCTCAGCAATGGAGATTTCCTCAGCCTACTTTTGCAGTCTACAGCTTTACTGGAGCTTTCTTTCTGGCCAAATTCACATTTGACATCATCTTGCTGGGCTCTTTGCTCTTGATTTGCAAGATAAATCTGGCTAAAAGTCCCCAACAAAAGCCATGCTACTGCCTCAGCATTCAACTAGCTTGAAATTTCTTCTGATGTTAATTAGTTTTAGGCAAAGTATCTCAGTCTTAGGCAGAGTATCTGGGTATGAGCAAAATGCAGACAAACTTTCTTCCAAGGTATAACACACATCATCTGGAGTCCAACAACTGATGCAGTCCTTCTTCCCAGTAGAAACCTCCCAAACCTGGTCTTTACCAGCAGGATTTCTATCGGTCTTCTGGTCTTCTGAGCTTTGACCAGAATCTTCCATACAGAACAGCTGAAAGCGTTCCAGCTCTACTCTTTCAGGTGACATTTCCGAACCTTTACAAACTCATCCCACAAGCCATTTCCAAAGTCTCTTGAACCACATGGTCAGGTATAGTCACAGCAATGACCGCACTTCTCTGGTACCAAATTCTGTCTCGTTTACTTTTTTCTCTTTGCTGAGACAAAATACCTGATGCCCAAAATTAAAGAAGGAAAGGTTTATTTAGCTCACAGTCTGTGGAGGTTTCAGTCCATACTTGGCTGGCTCCAAAGCAGGGTGGCACATGGCAGAGGGCAACTGTTCATAGTGACTGAAGATAGCAAAAGCAACAAGAGCAAAAAGGGAGGAGGGGCAGCAAGCAACCTCTTTCCCTCCCTTACACTGTATGCAAACTACCTGCCCCAAGGCAGGTGCAGCACTGACATCCATAATTCCAACACTGGACCATGGATCAATCATAAACTCTAGAAGCCCACCCCATGACTGCATGAGGCTTTAGGGGGACATTCAGACACAAGCCATAACAGAAAATCATGTTCAAAACCTGTTAATACCATTATAGATAGCTAAATTAGATAGAAATTAATGGTCAATCAGAGAGGGATTGGGCCCTTGAGACATCAAAATGGTGGGCTGAGGCAAATCTGGAGGGCCAAGCCTCAAGGTGGAGTCTGATAACCAGGCCTGTGAGCCTCTCTAGAGATAAACAACAATTTGAAATTATACTGTCATTAGCAGGACCTGGTCTAGTAAGCCCAGAAATAGACTGTATTATACATATAGGTGGATGACCAGAACATCTAGATTATACTCCCATCCCTTTCCAGGAATGCCTTTGTTCTTTCTATATGCCCTTGCCACTTGAGTCATTTTCTTATTAGATCAATATTAGCTTAGTGACTATATTTGTAATCCTATAGGTTGATTGTAATTTGACCCACATTATACCCACCTTGTGGTTATGCTGTGTAAATCACTACCGGCAAAGATCCTCAGTAACCACCCAACCATGTAGGACCCTTCCTGGAAATCCAGGAGCTGTTCTTATTATTTCCAATAAAAGTCTCCTAATCTCCTCCTTTGGTTTGTGACTTCATTCCTCAATGTTGTGAGACCAAGAACTTGACACATCTGACAGGTTGGGAGTTACTGTCCCCATAATGATATGACATTACTGATGGACTAAAGGTGCTTCTACAAGTTGCAAGGAATA